GGCACTGGCCACCAGGACCAGGGTGTCAGTGCGTCACCGTTCGGCGTCCGTCACGCCTCACCGCGTTAGAGTCGGCGTCAACTGTCAGGGTGGCGGCGTCATGAGTTCGTGACTCCTCAGCCCCGATGAAATGAAAAGCCAAAAGTGAAACGCGTGAATCGTGTAGGCGCATACGTACTTGCCACGTGACTCCTTAGCCCTGTTCGGCTGATGGTTTTTTCGACTTAAAAGCCGGCTGATGCTGTTTTATTGTGAGAAAAAAACACTGTATCATGGCTCCAGATAAGCTATCAAAATTATTCTTTTTCTTATTTAACAACAACAACAACTGACATATGAATTGAGAGGTCCAGATTAAGGGGTAAATGAACAGGCATGAATCTGCACTCCTCGGATGCCATTTCTCCTGTACATCACGTGCCCGTACATCGAGTAGAACACGATGCCATTTTTGCTGTCCACATACCGTTTGCAGTCAAATTGGGAATTAATTCCATTCCATGGATGGGACGTTGATGAAGTTGGTCAAAACCCTCTTATGGAGTTATGGTTATTACAATTATAAAGCAACATGGACTTACACTGAATCTAATATTTGTAAAAAACGGCAAGGCCTTTCATGCACCGTAATAAAATAAAATGACATAGCATAGCATGTACATATGAATCTAATAGTTCCCATCCTAGACTGAACTTCATTCACTATTTGCAGACATGAGGTGCTCAAAAATTGATTATGTTTTCAACATATCATTGAGAACAGAAAAGCATTTTTTAGAGCAAAACAACAATATGGCACAGAGCATATCACGATTTTGAGAAGACTGAAGAAACAAAATGACTCATGATGTCAGCTGTCAGATCAATATTTGGTCGATTTTCCCCACCTTTCAGTTTTCATGTAACAAAATAATTTGTATATAAAGTGGATGACTCGATCTGCCCGCTACATTATCCTGACTACAAGAGTACAGTCGACTTGTAATCTTCAGACAACAAAAGCAACAGATGAGCACACTGAAGACATCTTCATAAAATTCTTTACAACTTTGGTACTCACCATAGAATTTAACTATTTTTAATCTTAGGCACAAGGTAACCATGTGGTTTCCAACTACCATGAAATTTGTAATGATTTATTCAACCAAATTTAGTGTTTGGATATTCCATGAAAAATTATTGGAACAATCTAAAGCGATCTAGTACACCATGTATCCATCTTCTGCCTTTATAGCCTCTGAAAACCGACTTGATCTACACTGCATACTAATTCATCGGTGTGCAAATACAACACAAATTCAGAATTCAAAATCTCTCAAAATATTCAATTAAATTTAACGTTTAAGCACTGTAAGGAAGTGTAGTGAAATTATACAAGACTAATCACAGAGATAAAACCAAAGATCTAATAGTGGTTGCACGTGCTTGTTAATTTTTTAAGGCCACCATGTGTACTAAGGGCCATGGAAAAGTAAGATTCGCTAATAAATCAAGCAATATGTTTAGGTAAATCGACAGCTACTCATCATTGTCTTTTCTTCTCCAACAACTAAGGATCAGGTCCATTTTTACTAAACGATGTACGAAACATAACTTGGATTTTAACAGGACCTTAGCTTCAGGAGGGGAGAGGGAGGCAATTCAGAAAAGGTTGAAGATCATCGAAGCACTTCATTCACAGATTTAGGCACACAGAACCGAAAGGTATTAAAGGGAACAAAGTTAGTACGCATAATACACTTGAAATTGGATCAGATGAAAGCACACAGAACTGCAGGCACGGATCCAATAAAGGACATTTGGTGTGCACATGTACTACTAATCATCTTTCAAAGGGATCGAATTTAGTAGGCATAAGTTGACACCTGTTGCGCGTCGTCGCTGGTGGCGGCATCGTCCGGCGGCGGCCCGTCTGGGTTGACAGGCGACGTGGAGACAGCTGCACGTTCGGCGCTGTCTAGGTGGCGGTCCATCCAGCGTGCGTCCGATGGCAGCCCGTCGCCGGGGGCGTTTAGCGGCGGCGGCCCGTTCGGGTTGACGAGGCGGCGTGGAGGCGGCGACACGGTCAGGTTGGATCGTCCCGGCGCCGATGGCGGCGCGACCGGGTTGCTTCGTCCTGGCACCGATCTGAGCACTAGCCACCGGGTGTGCGGGCGAGAGGGAAGGAGGGAGAGGTGGCGGCGGCGCAACCGGAGGGCTGGGAGTCGCGAGGGACCAGGGGAGGCGCGCGCGACTGGGGACGAGATCGCCTGGGAGCTGATTGCCCGGGCGAGGCAGAGGTACTCCGTGCCCCCGCCGCCGTGCTCCGCCTGCTCCTCCAGGCGTAGCAAGCGAGCCTTGTCGTCCGCCGTTGTCGCAGTCGCGACTGCCGGCGCTGCCGCCATGGGGGATCGCGACCATTTGGGTCTGGATCACCTCGGGTGCCACCCGACACCTCACCCGCCGCCCGTTCGGCGCTGGATCGTCGCCGCCGCCCGATTCGTCGCAGCGACGCCCCTCCCGCCGTGCCGCCCTTGGCCTCACACCGCCCGCCGCGAGGCTTGAGCGATCATGGCATCCTAGTGGGGTGGGGAGAAGGCGTCGGCGTCTCGCTATGATCATGGCGTCGGTGTGGGGTGGTTTGTTATGGAAAGAAAATCAGAGGGAGAGGAAAAGGGATAGGACAGGCAGGGGATCGAAAGAGACGGGCGTAGGAGCAGAGGGGTGTGGGATCGTAGCAGGTAGAACTATGGGCCCACGTTGGAATGTCGCACAAAAAATATCCACTCTTTAGTATTTTTAGTTATAGGAGATATGTTATAAATTGGCCTTAGGGTTTTCCTGCTTTTATCTGTTCCTTTCACAATACTTTGGACTATTCTGTCCACAAAGAATGGAAAGGAGCAAATTCTATAAATAAAACCAAATGAGGCGTGAAAAAAACTCACACCATAGTTTCATTTGGTCCTATTATATATACCTTTTATAACAAAGAACATGTTTCATTAATCTTTGGTCCTATTATATATATCCTTTATAACAAAGAACATGCTCTCTTTAATCTTTTTGTCCTATTACCACATCTTTTATAATATAACAAAGAATATGGTCTCTTTAATCTTTGTGTCCTTCAGGCTTTCATCAGATCACACTACAAACTTGTTTGATTTGCCAACAACCCCTTTCCCGTATGATGTGATGACAGCCGAAAACTGCTTTAACATGGTTCACGGGTGTTTTGCAATCAGTGTAACAACTAAAGATATCCAGGTAGGTAGCGTACGTTCAATGGAGCGGATGCACACATAGACAGACATGGACAAAAAGTTTCCTCGATGCCGACCCCATTGATGTGCCCATTTGTTTGGTCATTGTGCTGATTGGTGCCAGCAGAAAAACACAGGACATGGAGCACTTCAATCAGCTCCTCTAGCTTATCTGCGTGTTCTTTAGCTGAAGAGAGCACATTGGCACTTGGCAGGCTACTGTACTGGGCTACTGGCAGTTACTGTCTGCGTACTACTAGTACTACATGCATCTCAGCACGAAAATTTCTGCTATTTTAACAGTAGTTCCACTTACGGCCTGTTCGCTTGTCGTATCTAGTTTATAAGTCATGACTTATCAGCTAACGAATAGTATTTTTCTCTCACACTAAATCAGCCAACGATACTTTTAACTATGGCTTATAAGCCAAACAAACCTAAACGAACGGGGCGTTATAGTTCAAATCTGTGGTACCGGATTGAGACTTGGATATTACCGCGGTGAAACCATCTATGAGCGTTGGGTAAACATGACTACGTATCTATTCAAGGCGGCTGGTATTAGCATTTTATTTTCTTGGTCTGTTCAGAAACAGGCTACCGTTATATAAGACAAGACAATAGAGTATGGCCAAAAAAGATCCTTGTTGTTGTAGCCACGAAATGTAAACCAAATTGTACTACTAAGTTTAGTCACATCCTTTTGGTAAAAACAACATGGCATGCAGCAGCCACAACTGATCAAGAGAGGCAGCAAAAGATTATCAAGGTGACAACAACACACCGGTCAGAGCAAAGTAACGCACGCAAATAAGGGTCACTTTGGGACGCACGAACGCACGAATTATATATAAATTATATCGAAATCAATTCATGTTTACTGGAAAACACAAGAAAGAGACTTTTTTTTTGCCTACATGGATAGAAGTGCACATGTGGTATATATTACTACTTTATTTACAAAGAATATTTCAACATCACATATTTATTTAACTCCAATTTGATTTTGAAGAAGCTCCATTCCTAATCCTAAAAAAATAATCACGGAGCCACCAGCGGAGCTGTAGACCAGAGTGACGAGACGAGAGGAGAGGAGTTTGTCCAACTCCTCCAACCAAACGAAACCAATCTATAGTCTGACCTGGCCAATTCCTCCTCCACGCGTCACATCACCGGCACACGTTCCTTGAACGCGGTCTACGGTTCACGGCCACAGTTCTGTGGGCCCCCCGAAATCGTGCCGCGACACACGCTTCCACAGATACGTACTACTCCAAATCCTATGTCACCGAGCCTACCAGACGCCTCGAGGCACCTGGGTGCACCGGGTCCATGGGCCGGGCACGCGCGCGTTGCGCAGCTCGACCGTTCGGCTGCTCCGAGCGTATGAACCGGGTCCACCTGGGAAGTGACCGGAACCTCCCCTTCTCCTCGCATCTCCCTCCGGAGTCTCCCCCCTCCCACCCATTGAAAAGCAGAGCGGCAGAGGCTGGCTCTCCCTCTCCTCCTGGACACAATCATCAGCTCCCGAAATCCAAATTGAAACAGGTGAGAAAGAACCCCACGAAATCCTCCGAACCGTTTCCTCCCATGGGTTTGCATGGATTTATGAAACATCTTTATTGGAATATAGTTGAAGTTTCGTGTTTTGGTGCACAATTCATCAATTACAGTGCTTTCTCCTGAATGGCTGGTTGCAGGGGATTCTGAGCTTGGTGCCTGTCCCGCGGACCGATTTTGGTGGTGGCGGAGGGGATGTCAGGCCCCCTCGATCGATTTGCTAGGCCATGTGAGTATGAAGTGCTTGTTTCCGTTGGGACACGATCAATCGATTCCCGACGAATTAGTGCATGCTATTGGTTCATCTTGTTCGTCCTTGTTTCTTTCAAATTTATGGAGTTGAGTAAATTTCTGTTTGGGTAATAACGCTCTTATGAGGGCGTAAGATTAAATTGTTCTTGCATGGTTATAGTTTAATAGGTTTATTAGGGGCTAGGAAAAAAAACCAAGGCCCTTTTGTTATTGAAAGAAATCCCAATACAGAAGTAGATGTTTACCAACTGCCTAAGCTTTACCTGTTCTCATCAGAGGACTTGAAGCTTATTCTTGAAGCTGGCCACACCTTCAAGGATAACCACAAAATGGAATCTCAGTTAATGCAGAAAATCGACATATAGCAATGTTGTAACATGTGCAAATTAATAAGTTCATAAATCATTCAACCAGTCCATGTCCCAACTATTATTACCATTTGTGTCTGAAGATCTGTTAATACCTATATTAACTTCTCTCTTCCTCTCTCTAGTTTAGCATCAATCTAATAGTCAGGTTGCAGTTCTAGCTCCCTGTAAAGCACAATTTTCTGTCTATAGTCTAACCCACCTAATAGTAACTGCTGCTACGGAACAAAATAGCTTTCTTTGCTTGGATTTGGAGATGGAAAATTGAGACAGCCTGTGCAGGTTTTGAAGGGTTTGTGCATAACGATGAAAGGAAAGAGAGCAGATCTGATGCAGACAACTCAGAAGGAGATAAGAAGACTAAAATCGGATCTTTCAAGAAAAAAGCAATTAATGCAGGGAACAAATTCAGGCATTCCCTGAGAAGGAGAAGCAAAAAGAAGACTGAAAGGGGGGATTCCATCAAGGACATAAGGGACGTTAAAGAGCTTCAAGATGTTGAGACATTTCGACAATGCTTAATTGATGAGGATTTGCTGCCACAACAGCATGATGATTATCACATGATGTTAAGGTACAACACTTCTTGTTCACAGTTTTTTCTTCTCTTTTGAATAACCTTCAAAAGACAGGAAGTTCCTTGTTCGCAAGGTTTTGATTTCTCTTTATGCTGCATATATTCTTCCCCTTTCATACCTTACTAATAGCCACACACTAAACCTTGCACATGTGCTCAAGAGGCCATGATTAGAAGAAAGTGGCCGCCATCCTAGTTGACTGGGCTGGGATTCTCATTTGATCTCATTTGCATTGCAGGTTCCTAAAAGCACGGAAATTTGAAGTTGAGAAAGCTAAGAATATGTGGTCAGACATGCTTAAATGGAGGAAGGAATTCGGGGTCGACAAAATAGAGGTAAAGTTGAAGTTAAAATAGCATATCATAATATGTCATAGTTATCAATCTTGCTCAGATTAATCTCTATTTTGACCCTTCTTGGTCCTACACCTCAGGAATTTGAGTACACCGAGTTGGATGAAGTTACGAAGTATTACCCACAATTTTATCATGGGGTAGATAAAGAGGGAAGACCTGTCTACATAGAGTTAATAGGAAAAGTTGATGCAAACAAGCTATTACAAGTGACAACTTTAGATCGGTATGTGAAATACCATGTCAAGGAGTTTGAGAGGTGTTTCCAGATGAGATTTCCAGCTTGCTCCATTGCTGCAAAAAAGCATATAGATTCGTCCACTACTATTTTGGACGTGCAAGGCGTGGTATGCTGCATTATATTATAGCCAAATATTGTTCTTTACAATGTAATGCCACATTGCTAAGAGTTAATACTTTGTTCTTTACTTCTTTGTAAATTAAGGGTTTCAAGAACTTCTCAAAATCTGCCAGGGAATTAATCACACAATTACAGAAGATCGACAGTGATAACTACCCAGAGGTTGGTAACACTGTCAAGGATCCTGAATGACAAGTTTTGTTCCAGCATTTTGAAAACAAAATCAAAGAATATTTCCATTAATAATTTTACTAAAATTCAAAAGAAAAAAATATACTTCCTTCCTGGCACTATGTTTATCTTGGCCCAACTTTACAACCCCTAAGGCCTTGTTCGGTTACTCAGTTTTCCTCCTGGAATCAATCCAGGTGATCAAAACTTATACAAATTATGCAAGCAAACCGGGTAGGAATGATTCCAGGCCACAGTTCCCCTTGAAACGAACGGGCCCTAATGCATTTTGGATGCTGTTACAGACACTCTGCCGGATGTATATAATTAATGCTGGCCAAGGCTTCAAGATGCTATGGAGCACAATAAAATCATTCCTTGATCCAAAAACTGTTTCCAAGATTCATGTATGTAATGCTTTGCTAAGCATTGATTTGATTGCGTCTTTCTTGAGTAATTTGATATACATATAATAGTCAGTTAGTGACCCTTTCTCATTTTCTTTTGAAGGTTCTTGGGAATAAGTACCAACATAAGTTGCTCGAAATAATTGACGAGTGGTTAGTATTTTGTTTCTTTGCCGTACATTTATGTTGCTTACTTCCATTCTAATTTCTGCTTAATGCATGCATGCAGTGAATTGCCAGAATTTTTTGGTGGCAAATGCAACTGTATTGAAGGTTGCCAAAGATCTGACAAAGGTCCTTGGAAGGATCCCAACATAATAAAGGTAAATATCCCGTCACTTGACCCCAGTCCCCAAGTATTATGAAAAAGAAAACATGAATAAATATCAAAGAAGAAAAAGGATATGTTTCCATATGAGACTTTCAGCTGGACAATGTCTTCTGTTGCTAACTTGACGCATCTCCAATTTGTCCAGAGAGTCCTCAATGGTGAGGCAAACTACGGCAGGCAAATTGTGACCATATCCAGCACTGATGGAAAGATAATCAGTTATGCTAGGCCAGGGCACCCAACTGTAAGTCTGAATGCTTGAGTGTAGAAATTTCGAGAAACATCATTCTCAATCCTCAGTCAGTACTTCATAATTTTACTGCAGCAGAGAAAAGGCAGTGATGCATCTGCCGAGTCTGGGTCTGAAGTGGAAGACGTAGCATCTCCTACTGCATCAAGGAACCTGATTACACATCCTATTTTGACCCCTGTTCACGAGGAGGCAAGTGGCTAACCCTGTACTGTTTAGTGTATGAATAAAAACCTGACACTACTGGCATAATCTGGGAATTATTGATGAAAGGACACTAAATTAGAATCATTCTGTAAACATTCATTGAACGGGAGATGGTACTACACCCCCTTGTTTTCCTGTTCCTTTTGGTAATATGGGATTTTCACCAGTTCGCTTTCCTAACAAGTTGAAATATAACTTTGGGCTACTCATTTTAAAATGCTATTGTCATTTTTGTTATTGTCTACCGTACCAGACTACCTGTATTAATGTGTAACCTCTGTTGCTACCTCCAGTCAAAATTGTCAGCACATGGATCTGCATTTGTTGCTCATGCTTCTATTGAAGAAAGCATTCCTGTTGTGGACAAGGTTGTTGATGATGGATGGGGTAGTCCCAGAAGTAGTCTACAAGCTTCTTCAGGTATTCTACGTTGTTATATAATTGTTTTTTTTTATTGTGAATCTCTTGCCTATAGTTTTTGTTCTTCATTTTACACCTGTTCAATTTAAGTTAGTCCATGTGTGTTCCCACCGAATTTTTTCTACTATTTATAGATAACTAAGCTAGCAAAAGTATCTACTGATGTACTTCATCAATCCTTAAAAAAGTTAACTCCTATGCCAATGTGCTTACATTTATACCAATGTTTTGAGCTTTTGGTTGAGTACTTCTTTTCTTTACTTTTTATAAAAAGGAACTTTGAGGGACTCAGCTTACAACTTAAGCTGGAAAGTGCCCTATAGTTTTAGGATGTAGTTCTCAAAATTACAGAAACATGTGATACATATGCAAGAATATTGTTCTGTATTACTTTGTGCTGAACCCTGAACCTTTTATAATTCTCCACACCAGGTTCATTGTCCTCAAGAAATTTACATGGCACATTTGAAGGACTCGGAGCTCAAATTATCACATGGCTGACATTCTTGATCATGACCCTTTTTGCCATGCTTTGTTCTGTCCCAAGCAAGATGGCTAGAAGGATCTCTAACCAATCTAGTAAGCATGACGACTATCGTGTTGAGTACCCTCAAGAACAGGAGTACAAGGAGGAGTTTCGACCTCCATCTCCTGCCCCATCCTATACAGAAAAGGATGTACTTTCATCAATGCTGAGACGGGTCGGTGAGCTGGAGGACAAGGTGCAGTGCTTGAAACAAAGCCATCCGAGATGCCATTTGAAAAGGAAGAATTGCTCAATGCAGCCGTCCGCCGCGTGGATGCATTGGAAGCCGAGTTGATTTCCACAAAGAAGGTAAGCTTGTTCTGTTCAAATCTGCTGGTTTCCATCTTTGATCTCAACTGGTACAGACTAGAACTGTCTGTTAGACTGTTACTCAATGACAATAATTAATACATGAAAAATATTGTTCTAGCCCTTTTTTCTGATAAATGAAATAAGGCTGTAGATGCTGGGATAATGTTTATTCCATCATATAGAGAAAAGGAAATACTAATAAGGTCATGAACTTAACTATCTACTCCAACTTCCATGAGCAGGCCCTTTATGATGCTTTGATGCGACAGGATGAGCTACTCGCGTACATTGACAGACAGGAGCTGATCAAATTTCGTGTATGTTACTGTTCTCCCACCCTTCTTTCTTTTTTCATCATTCGAGATATAAAACGTGTATTATTACATTTCCACTCTCTTAAGTCTGATCATTAACTTATTGACCTTGTTAAGGTAAAGCTACTCACTCCCATCTACTGTAATTGATTGTTGTCCTCTATGTATGCCTTATGCAGAAAAAGAAGTTCTGCTTCTAAGATTTGACCGTGGAGCAGCTGTTCATGTCCGATTGTCCGGAGCCGTTCGTGTATATTGGATTGCGGCTAATATGTTGGATGTAATGTGTCCATCTGTAGGAGTGTGTAACAGTGCAAGTATAGTAGGAAAACAAAATAGGTGCGTTGTGCGTTGTGCGCCTTCGCTCCCCCTCCCCTACATATATCATGTTCCGAGTTCTCCAGGCCTACTGGAACTGGAACGACGAGTTGTTCAGGTCAACAATGTGTTGTCTGGATTCGTCAAAACAAAATGTGTTGTCTGTGTGGTCTAGCACTTGTGTGCTAGCCTAAATTGTAATCTTGCAAGTTGGTGCATAGCTGATTGCGTGCTAATACGTACGTAGTTGTGAATGAAACCGCATGTGCTCGTGTTTATGTAAAAAATAAAATAGCAGCGACAAAAAAGGGCCCCTCCCCTGCAAAGATGTGGCGTAATCTATTTTTTATGCGTCTATTCATCGGTTATTCGGTTAGAATTATATCATGTAGCATAATATTTTCATGTGATCAAGTTTTAAGGGCTATATATTTTTTAAAGCGTATCATATAGCCGTATCAAACGGCTGCAGACGTACTACCTCCATCCTAAATAACTGTCGTTTTCTCTTTTCTAAAAACAAATTTGACTAAACTAGCAAATATGCATGTGCTGATGATGCAGCAAGCATGAGGCACAGCACCTCCCGCCCGGATGCACAGCGGCACGAGTGCCGCCGCCTGACGCGCGGCTTCCTGCCAGTATGCTCGAGCGCCGATGGCGCAGCCTTCCCGATGCCTCCCTCCTGGTCGCCTGCCTGCCTCGGTGGTGCGACGACCTCCAGCATCTTCCTAGTGTTGATTCAGCGGTGATTGCCGGTGTTCTCCCCTTCTTAATTTCTTTCTTCTCCTCCTGATCTAGTCACTCGTTGCTTCATTTCTTCCTCAACGGCAACCTCTGTTCAGTTCTTGTTGCCTGATTTGACTTCTGTCTTCCTCTGTGGAAAGGGGTGAGAACTGGGGAAGCAAAGGATACAAACTGAGCGGTGGAGAGCTGTGCTGATTTTTTAGTATTGTCGGTGGGGTTACCGGGTGAGCGGTGGAGATGGAGAGCTGCGTCAGTACTTCTGTTGTACTAAGCCATTAGTCTAGATAGAAGCAGTTAAATAATTGCAGATGTGGCTCCACAGAGACCCCAACTTGTTTGGGACTAGACTTTGTTGTTGTTGTTGTTGTTGGCTCCACAGAGTGTCCATGCATCTTGAATTCCTGATCAGCTTCTACTAAATTTAACATGTCTTATTATTTTTTTTTAAAAAAAACATAAAACGTACTCCCTCCGTTCCAAAATACATGATGTTTTTTACTTTTGGACATCTTGTTTGACTGTTCATCTCATCCAAAAAAAAATGTAAATATTATTTATTTTGTTATGACTTATTTTATCATTAGAGATACTTTAATAATGACTTATTTGTTTTATTATTTGCACAAAGAATTGAATAAGACAAATGATCAAACATGATATCTAAAAGTAAAAAACGTCATCTATTTTAGGACGGAGGGAGTATTATCAGAGTTTTTAGAAAAGTGACTCCGTGCTGCATAGTAGGTCACTGTTTGAAAACAAGCATTTCAAGTTTTGAATTACATGGGTATCCAATATTCATGCATCTTCACAGCCTAAACTGTATGGATATGAATTGGTTGGCTACATCTTTCTGAAGAAAAAATGGCTGTCATATATTCTAAAATTGATATGTTTGATACTTATTAGAACAATATATGTGAAATTCTGAATGTTTCTCCAATATATATTCTTTATATTTACGATATTAAAATTTTGTGAGTTCTTTGCAGGTTGGTTGACACAGCAGTCAAAACATCCCGTAGTGGATACCTTCAGCGTTGTCTTATGAAATGTTTGGAATCGTTGAAAGTCTCCTATGATCACACAGTTCGGGATGTCGATGGATCAATTGTACAGTTCCAATATGGAGAAGATGGAGTTGATGTGCTGAAAACTAGCTTTCTCAACGAGTTCAAAGAACTTGCTGATGTAAGAAATTCAATACTCAACTATAGTTTAAAAAACCACCTTGAATTTGAATTATGTCTCCCTATTGCTTGTTTGGTAGGCTTCCTAATGGTGTGCTATATTTGATCCAAATTGCAGAACAGAAAAGCTGTCCTTTCCAAGCTCGGTGGCCACAGTATGAAGCCCACGTATAATGAATACATTACTGAACTGCCTAAAAAATTGAATCGTCAAGCGGAAGAGTTTCTTGAGCGTTCAAAGGAATTTCAACGCTGTCGTTACAACATTGAGGCAAAGGAATTAAAGGAGTTACTGGAAGTCAAGTACCTCTCTAGTCTTGTAGATCCTGGTGAGGCTGTTGGTGTGGTTGCTGCTCAGTCAATAGGAGAACCTTCTAAGCAGATGACGTAAGAGATTCTCTTAATTTATATATAGTTTTTGAGGTTCCCACATTCATTTCTCCATTTTATGCTAGACCTTCATTGGTTTAACTTATATATATCTTATAAAAGAGGCAGTAGTATTTAATTATTTATGTCCAACATTGGTTGAGGTGGTATGGCCATGTCCAAAGGAGACCTCCAGAGGCACTAGTGCATTGTGGAGTCCTAAGCCAAGCTAATAATATGAGGTGAGGTAGAAGAAGACCGAAATTGACATGGGGGAGGCAATAAAAAGATATTTAAAAGTTTGGGGTATACCTAGAGATATATGTTTGAATAAGAGTACTTGAAAAACAGCTATTGAAGTGCCTGAACCGTGACTTGGGGCTCTTGGTGGGTTTCAACTCTAGGCTACCCCAACTTGCTTGGGACTGAAAGGCTATGTTGTTGTTGTAGTAGTAGTAGTATTTAATTATTTATTTGCTAACTAAGTTTTTTGTCCTCTCCTTTTGCTTGTGTTGTACTACTGTTTATCTATGTTATATTTTAGAACTTAGATATAACAACTCAAATATTGTTTTACTGTGCATTGCAGGCTCAACACTTTTCATCTTGCTGGAAGGGGTGACCTGAATGTAACTCTTGGTATACCTCGGTTGAAAGAAATACTGATGACTGCATCAGCTAATATTAGGACGCCTGTTATGAAGTGTCCTTTGCTTGAACATGTTTCTATGTGAGTTTTAATTGTGATTACTTTTAGGATAATGAACAACCTGAGTTTTGTTTCTGCTGTATTTTCATTACTCTATCCAAGCTCATGCGTTCATAACTTCCACGTGCACCAAATCTGTGAGATATGTGCATTCATTTGTTCTTTCGGTGAATGCGTAGGGATGATGCTAAAATGGTGGCTGCAAAGCTTACGAGGGTTCGTGTGGCTGATATAGTGGAGAAAATTGAAGTGTGCACAGTTCCTTTTTACAACTGTATGAAACTCTATCCAGAAGACCAGCTTGAGTCAGGCCTTACTGTAGATGAGTGTCAGGCAACCTTGAGAACAGTTTTTGTTGACGCAATGGAACATGCAATTGAAAAGCATCTAGATCTGCTACACAAAATAAATGAAATCCGTGCTGTTAAGGTAAAAGATACAGATGGCTCATTATCAGATGGTGGTGAAGAATGTGAAAGTAGACATGCTGATGGAGGAGACACTGGTACAAGTGATGATGATGATCAAAATGATAATGATGATGACTTGGGAACTGATGCAGAAAAGATGAAGAGTCTTTTACTTATATGCCATTAAAAAAGATGGTCTAATCGTCTATGTTTCTAAAAAGTTCGATCTATCGTCAGTGTCCAAACTCGGAAAACTTTTCTCTCTCACACCATTCTGTCTATTTACAGCACTAACGGTGTGAAATTGTTAGCTAATCTACTGCCACCTTGTGTGAACACAGCCGATGAAGGCGGCGCCGACTTAGCTGCCTGCTGTGTGTGAACACAGCAAGGGAAGGCGGCGCCGACTTTGCCCCCTGCTGTGATACAGTAGTCGCTGTAGGTGCAGGCGCCGTATGGCTCACCTGCAGCACTGTAGGAACAGGTAGTGGCCGGCGCAGAGTCAGCCCTGTCAGGTTATCTAGTTACTGTGCCAGCATGGGCGCCGCACATGGACTAGATAGTTAGAGTTGTATAAATAGACATGTATGGCAACTCAGTAAAGAGAGCTCAGATTTGCCATCACACAGACAAGGCCTCGGCCAACGTTATTGTCTTGTATTGTGCGTGCTTGCTCTGTTCTCCCTTCTTCTTCTAGCTCGATCCGTAGTGTGTGGGTACGGACACAACCGGTATAGTGGTCTAGGAGACTAGTGGTCTGGGAAGACTAGTGGTCTGGTCTGAGAGACTAGTGGTGTGGGAAGACTAGTGGTCTGGTCTGGAAGACTAGTGGTCTGGTCTAGAAGACTAGTGGTCTGGAAGACTAGTGGTCTGGTCTGAGAGACTAGTGGTCTGGAGACTAGTTCATTATCGCCGGACGGTGATCCCGTGGGCCAACAAGTGGTATCAAAGCCGTACAAGCGCCGTCGTCATTCTAACCAATGGCGAGGACAGGCGGTTTGGAGTTGGACGATGGCAGTGGCACTATCATAGCTGCCCAGCCACTACCGGAGGTAGTTGTCCGCACGGTGCGGGAGGTCAGCGGCACCACTTGACCGACGCTGACTCGCACTAACTATGGAGAGTGGTCGGTGACCATGAAGGTCAAGCTCAGAGCCCGACGGCTCTGGAATACTGTTGACAAGGGCACCGACGTGGAAGAAGACGACATGTCAGCGTTGGAGGCTATCCTCGCTGCTGTACCGGTGGAGTATAGGGAACCGTTGGGGACGAAGAGCTCAGCTAAGGAGACGTGGGAGGCCATTGCGACGATGTGCGTCGGTTCCGACCGCGCAAAGAAGGCAACGACCCAGCTTCTGAAGCAGGAGTATGCAAACCTCAAGTTCAAGGATGGTGAAACAATGGAGAACTTTTCCCTCCGTCTATAGACGCTCATCAGCAAGCTGAAGAGCCACAGCGTCACCATCGATGAAGAGGAGGCGGTCTCCAAATTCCTCCACTCCATGCCGGCAAAGTACATCCAGATCGCTCTCTCCATAGAGACGATGCTGGACTTGTCCACCCTCACCATCGAGGATGTGGCAGGCCGTCTGCGGGCGGTGGACGAGCGCCTAGAGCAGGCGACAGTAACGAAAGACAGCGGGAAACTCCTGCTGACGGAAGACGAGTGGGCTGCTCGGCAAAACTCCGGGAAGGCAGCCTCCTCCAGTCGCGGTGGCAACAGCAAACATCGCGGCAGGGCTTCTTCGGAGAAGAAGCAAATCGACTCCAACGCCTGTTGGTGTTGTGGGAAGATGGGCCATTGGGCACGGGAGTGCCCAAATCGCAAGAAGGAAAAGAAGGCTCAGGCTCACCTGGCGAAAGACAATGATGAGGATGAGGCCACTATCCTTATGGCGACGTTCTGTGCACTGCACGACGTCGAGACCATGGAGAGGGAAGAGGCGACGACGGTGGAAGGATCTAGCAAGGTCCTGAAGACCGTCAACCTTGACGAACCACGTGCCCAAGTCCATCTTGGGCATGTGGGCGTCGACCAGGAGCAGCGGTGGTATCTGGACTCTGGTGCCAGTAACCACATGACGGGCTCCAAGGACTCCTTCTCTGAGCTCGACAGTGATGTTACCGGTACGGTGAAGTTTGGTGACGGCTCAAGGGTGGCTATCCAAGGGCACGGCACCATCATCTTCAGATGCCAGAACGGGGAGCACCGCGTGCTAACGGATGTATACTACATCCCACAGCTGCGTTCCAGCATCATCAGCATTGGTCAGCTGGATGAGCATGGTAGAGAGGTTCTGATCAAGGACGGCGTTCTGAGGATCAGAGACCGGGAGCAGCGACTTCTCGCCAAGGTGAAGAGGTCCCTGAACCGGTTGTACCTGCTCAACCTAAAGGTAGAGCAGCCGGTTTGCCTGGCGGCAAGGCACTCCGAGGAACCGTGGATGTGGCAGGCCCGGTTCGGACATCTCAGCTTCGACGCGCTTGGTTGGCTGGGGAAGATGGTCCGAGGGCTACCCCACATCAAACACGGAGGCGAGCTGTGTGACAGCTGCCTGGCCGGGAAGCAAAGGAGGCTACCTTTCCCAAAGGCGGCCAAGTATCGCGTGAAGGAAGCTCTCGAGCTAGTTCACGGCGACCTCTGCGGGCCGATCACGCCTGCTACATGCGGTGGTCGGTGGTACTTCCTCCTACTCGTGGACGATTGCAGTCGCTACATGTGGCTGCAACTCCTGACGAGCAAGGACAAAGCGGCAGTGGCGATCAAGAAGTTCAAGACGCGCGCGGAGGCCGAGAGCGGCAAGAAGCTCCATGTACTGAGGACTGATCGGGGTGGCGAATTCACTTCGGTGGAGTTTGCTACGATCGGGCGCGGATCAAGGTGTGGGGCAACATCACACCGCGTATTTCGCCACAACAGAATGGCGTGGTGGAGCGACGGAACCAGACAGTGGTCGGCATGGCCCGATCCATGATGAAGGCCAAAGGGATGCCGACAAAGTTATGGGGAGAGGCGGTGACCACGGCGGTGTTCATCCTCAACCGCGCTCCAACCAAAGCCTTAACGGGCAAGACGTCGTTCGAAGCTTGGTACGGGAGCAAGCCGAACGTGTCATTCCTCCCGGACATTCGGTTGCATCGGCCACATCAGGAAGACGAAGCCGAACCTCACCAAGCTGGAGGACAGGAGCACACCCATGGTGTTCCTAGGCTACGCGGAGGGTACCAAGGCGTACCGGCTTTATGACCCACGCGGAGACAAGGTGACTGTCTCGTGCGACATTGTGTTCAACGAGGAGGCAGCTTGGGACTGGCACAGTCCGAGCACGGGAGAAGCGGGAGGCTTCACCAACACCTTCATCGTCGAGCACTTGGTCATCCACGGTGGTGGAGACGCTGCGGAACAGGTGTCACGCACTTCGGGAGGAGCGTCGAGCACTCCGACGATAGAGTCGAGCACTTCTGGGGCAGTGTCGAGCACTTTAGGAGGGATGCTGAGCAATCCGGGAAGAGTGTTAAGCACTTCTAGAGGGATGCCGAGCACGCCAGGAGTGGAGCCAGAAGGTTCTGCAGTGGTGGCGACTACTTCAGGACGGGTGCCGAGCACTCCCGTGGCGAGCAAAGACGTCTTCATCGTGGTTCCGACCACTCCAAGATCGAAAGTCGGGCACTCCTACGGTGTGGCGAACACTGCAGGAGTTATGACGAAAGCGATCTAGAAGCGATCTGAAAGCACTTCAGGTGCTATGCAGGGCACTCCGGCGGAAGAAGGAACTCCATCACCCCCGATCAAGTTCACCTCACCTCCAAGTGACATCACTGAGTTCGTGGACGCCTACCACGAAGGTGAGGAGTTGAGGTTCCGCAGTCTGGACGACATCGTCGGCGACACAGTCCCTCAGTCTGGCGGGTAGGTCGCTCAACGACGCAGAGCTGCTACTCGTCGGTCGCGGAAGGAACCACCCATGTTCGCGCTAGCCGAGCGCGATGGAAACTAGCGACGGGCGATGCTGGAGGAGATGAAGGCGATCGAGGAAAACGAGACTTGGCAGCTCGTCGATCCACCTCCAGGATGCCGTCCAATCAGCCTGAAGTGGGTATACAAAGTCAAAAGGGACGAGCTCGGCGCCATTGTCAAGTACAAGGCGCGCCTCGTCGCCCGAGGCTTTGTCGGTAGCGAGGGCATCGATTTCGAGGAGGTCTTTGCACCGAGAGGCTAAGATGGAGTCGATCCGTTTGCTACTTGCTTTGGCGGCAGCAAAGGACTGGCGCGTCCATCACTTGGACGTTAAATTGGCCTTCCTCAATGGCGAGCTGGCGGAAACGGTCTTCGTCAGGCAACCTCTAGGGTTCGCTGTCAAGGGAGAGGAGCACAGGGTGCTCCGACTACGCAAAGCGCTCTACGGGCTGAGGCAAGCCCCTCGAGCATGGAACGCCAAGCTTGACACCACGCTGGGCGAGCTTGGGTTTTAGAGGTGCGCAACCGAGCACGCGCTCTACATGCGACGACGGGAGAAGGAAGAACTCGTGGTCGGTGTGTATGTAGATGACTTAATCGTCACCGGCGCGCGCACGGAGGATATCAACAGTTTCAAGCGAGAGATGGCAGCTCGTTTTCGAATGAGCGATCTCGGCGCTCTCTCCTACTACCTCGGCATCGAGGTGAGACAGGGGAAGGAGGAACTCACGCTCGGGCAAAGCGCGTATGCCTCCAAGCTGTTGGAGAGGAGCGGCATGGTGGAGTGCAAGCCATGCGTGACTCCGATGGAGGAGCGGCTGAAGCTGACGAAGGACAGCACCGCGGCGAAAGTAGATGCAACACTCTACCAGAGCATCGTCGGCGGTCTGCGCTACCTAGTCCACACAAGGTCGGACATTGCGTTCGCCGTGGGCTACGTCAGTCGCTTCATGGAGGATCCCAGAGAGGATCACTGGGCTGCGGTGAAGCGACTACTACGCTACGTCAAGGGGATGGTGAATCATGGAATCATCTTCTCAAAGACCAGGGGAAGTAGGCTGCAGCTCACGATGTTCGCCGATGCGAGACATGGCGGGGACATCGATCGACGACGACGGAGCACCTCCGGCGTATTTCGTCTTCCTCGGGTCGCCCCCAATTTCATGGTTGTCGTTGAAGCAGAAGGTGGTGCCGCTATTCACGCGCGAGGCGCGAGTACGTAGCGGCGCGCCACAATGGCGTGCCAAGTTGTGTGTGGCTACGCCGGTCTTTGGGTGAGCTAACCGGCGTGGAAACTCACCCACCAAGATCGCGATGGTGGACAACCAGCCCGCCATCGCCCTCGTGAAGAATCCGGTTCGCGCGACGACCGAGTAAACACATCGGCGTGAAGTTCCACTTCCTCGGGGACCGTGTTGATGGAGGGCGGATCGTCATCGAAGTTCGTCGAAGCGCTTTCGGCAGCTCGCGGACGTCCTCACCAAGCCGCTCGGACGACTTCAACTCACTGAGCTGAAGGAGATGATCGGCATGGAGGGGGTACAAGGGTTAGCAGTAGGATTAGGGGAAGATTGTTAGCTAATCTACTGCCACCTTGTGTGAACACAGCAGATGAAGGCGGCGCCGACTTAGCTGCCTGCTGTGTGTGAACACAGCAAGGGAAGGCGGCGCCGACTTAGCTGCCTGCTGTGTGTGAACACAGCAAGGGAAGGCGGCGCCGACTTTGCCCCTATTTGTGATCTGATACAAGAGTCATTTGTGAGTGCGGCGCCGCATGGCTCACTGCGACAAGATCAGAGGAACAGGTAGTGGCCGGCGCAGAGTCAGCCCTGTCAGGTTATCTAGTTACTGTGCCAGCATGGGCGCTGCACATGGACTAGATAGTTAGAGTTGTATAAATAGACATGTATGGCAACTCAGTAAAGAGAGCTCAGATTTGCCATCACACAGACAGGGCCTCGGCCAACGTTATTGTCTTGTATTGTGCGTGCTTGCTCTGTTCTCCCTTCTTCTTCTAGCTCGATCCTTAGTGTGTGGGTACGGACACAACCGGTATAGTGGTCTGGGAGACTAGTGGTCTGGGAAGACTAGTGGTCTGGTCTGGGAGACTAGTGATGTGGGAAGACTAGTGGTCTGGTCTGAAAGACTAGTGGTCTGGGAGACTAGTGGTCTGGTCTGGAAGACTAGTGGTCTGAGACTAGTGGTCTGGAGACTAATTCACTATCGTCGGACGATGATCCCGTGGACCAACAGAAATGTGGATGGCAAATGACTTAAATACCACTGGAACTTTTGTTTCTCATGTGCCACTCAACTGAGGTCATTTTCCAAAGTGAGGAGCGGCTACCAGTACCAGGAGGCGTACGGCGGAACTGGCGCAGGAGGGTACGGCGCTCACTACGGTGGTGGCGCCGCCGCCGTTCAGAAGCACGGCTACATGCAGGACGTGTACGATAGCGAGACTGAGAGCGAGAGCGACGAGAGCGACTGCGAGGAGGCCCATCGCTTGGTAACCAGGTATGCCAGACTATTAATATCACCTCATTTTGTGCATGGTCCTGTAGCATCGGTGAATTTTGATCCTGTAGCATCCATTCCTGTCAGGGCAAGGCACAGAATGGAAAAGCGCCATGGGAAGGGGTAAGCTAACTAACAATTACTAATTTTACATATTTTGCACTTCTCGTACTGTTTGCCGTGGGAATGCATAAAGGATTTTATCTTTCTGTTTTGTCTGTTCCAGGTTAGAGCACGCTGTCGTAAAGAATGGGGGATATTTCAAACAAGGTTGACAGATGCTGAGAAAGCATATTACTTGGCGCATGGGATCACACCACCAAAATTTGTACAGGATCAATCTCCCTTTCTACTCTTCTTAGTTTTTCACTTGTTTTTTTTTTCTCTGTACGAGAGTAGCTCTTATGTAAGTAGCCTAGCACGATTTCGGAGATACTCTCTTTTGTCTTATTGGCCAAATGCAGTATCGATACTGTCATTTCTTTTCCTTGTTTTAACATACAAATGATTGCGTTGGAACAGCTCTTGTGCATTCAGTTCCTTATTTTCATGCTCTAGCCAGATATCTGAATGACAGACCCCTGAATCATTGCTTAGCCAGATATGTTTGTCCTGCCAAGGCAAGCCATGTTGGATTGTTTAAATTGTGTTGTATGTAGTATTGTAGTCATCTCTGTGATCTAGTAGAGGTTTTATGTTTCTAGTAGAAAGTAGTAGAGTTGAGAATATTTTATTTTTGTGGCCATTGGTTTGTGCAAATTTACATTATCTAATATGATTAAATCTAGTGTGCTAGCTAATGCTGTATTATGCTTGCTTTGAGCAGTGTGCAGGACTGATCTATGCGGACAACTAAACATGGATAAACTGCACAAGTCTGAATATATATAGGATAATATAAGTTTAGTCTGAATACATATTAATATAGACAGCCAAACATGCTCACAACAAAAGTACAAAACAGCTATCAGTGTTTCATCATCATACATTATTATCCCAAGGTGGCATTAAGTACTACATCTTATTTTTAGATATTTGGATTGTTGCATCAGCAACCACAAGATCCACCAAGTAGCGGCATAGGCCTGTCTATATATATATATATATATATACACACACACCACACGGCATACGAATATAGGAAGACGTAGGTATAGGTACGTGCATCTGGTACAACTGTATCAGAGCGTTACGCGCCGTAGCGAAGGAGGTGGCGGTTCTTGATCGGGGAGCACGTAGCGTAGCCGCCGCGGCCGGCGGTGTACTGGACGGTGCTCTGGTAGGACTCATAGCGGCGCCCGCCGTCCTCGTGGGTCTCGTACGACTCGTAGCGGCGCACGCCCCCGAGGTTGCCAGCCCCGTGCTTCTCCTGCTTGTACGCCCCGTTGCTGTGCTGCACACCGCCGCGCGGCGGGAACGCCTCCTCGCAGTCGCTCTCGCTCTCAGTCTCGCTATCGTACACGTCCTGCATGTAGCCGTGCTTCTGAACGGCGGCGGCGCCACCACCGTAGTGAGCGCCGTACCCTCCTGCGCCAGTTCCGCCGTACGCCTCCTGGTACTGTTAGCCGCTCTTCACTTTGGAAAATGACCTCAGTTGAGTGGCACATGAGAAACAAAATTTTCAGGGGCATTCAAGTCCTTTGCCACCCACATTTCACACCGTTAGTGCTGCAAATAGACAGAATGGCGTGAGAGAGAAAAGTTTTTCGAGCTTGGACACTGACGATAGATCAAATTTTTTAGGGACATAAATGATTAGACCATCTTTTTTAATGGCATACAAGTAAAAGACTCAAAGATGAAACGGCAAGAGAAAGATGAGATGGAGTATGATGATGATACTGAAAACGAGGAGGGAATGGGTAGCGAATCTGAGGAGAGCGATGAGGATCCAGCTGAGCCAGGTGATGATTCACAAGAGGCTGACAAAGAACACAAAATCTCAAAGTCTGAGACGACTTCAGTGGATGACCTGTCATATTCTGTTAAAAAGGGGGGAAAATCAAAAGATAATCATGGAACAGCTAAACTAGAAGAGAAAAGTCAAAATAAGGGAAGATTCAAATAACGAAGCGCAGGAAAAAGTTAAAACATACTATCCATGTTGAATCCAATGATTTGGATTTTGAAATTCACTATGCCTTTCTTGATGAACCTCATATTTTACTAGCTCAGGTAACAAGTGAACTTGAACTTTAATTTTCTTTCTAGGACTAGTTTGAAACTCAACATATTTCCTTCATCGGGTTGACTACATTTTAAGAGGCCGTTCGGCTGGCTGGTAGCCGGCTGGCTGGCTCTGTCACTCACGAAATCACTGTTCACGTCTTGCCAGAACAGTATTTTCCTCTCACAACAATCAGTCGGAACAGTATTTTTCAGTCCTGCCGAACAAGCCCTAACTTGATAGCGTCCATTTCACTATTGAAAGCTAAATAAAATACTCGCACACCACGTTTTACTCTCACCTGTAAAAGAACCCTAACCTATTGTATAGTAAGTTCGCAAGGGCCAGCACACTGCACTTGTATTCAAACAAGATCTTATTCAGTAGTACAGCTTCTGGGACACTTGATTAGCTGGAGTATGAGCTTTGCTGATTTTTCTTGTCCGACACCGCGTTGGCCATCTATATACGGCCTGTTCGCTTGATCATATTTGGCTTATAAATCATGGCTTATCAGCTAACGAACAGTATTTTTCTCTCACACCAAACCAGCCAACGGTACTTTCAACCATGGCTTATAAGCCAAACCAGCCCAAACGAACAGGGCGATAATACCCCTTGTTCACATGATCTGTTCCTCTTTTCTATCCTTAATTTGTGTTGTTCTGTCATGCTCGTGTCATTGTCAGACTATATTTAAGTTTGTGCTACTTAATTTCAGTAGCACTATAGGTATCACCTTCCAGCAGCAGCCGGTACTTTGTTAAATATTAGTCATACACTATTGCTAATACTAGTAATATCTGTTAGTTAGGCTCTGTTTGGCATGGCTCCACTCCTAAACTCTAGCAACTCCATAAAAAATCCAGCCAAACACCCCAACTCTAAAACTCCATAGAGCTGTCAACTCCATGGAGCTGTAGTGCAAATAGAGGTGGAGTTTTGGAGCACCTCTTTTGCTGCTCTAGAACCCTTTCTTTTGAACCTCCTCCTGGAGTTGATGGGTAATTACCCACCAATGCCACTGGTTACAGGAAAAAAACGTTTCGCTTCTATTCTCAAGTCTCCCCCGCGCATCACCTTCCAAGTCCCGCGCATCACATCTTCTCGCGAGAGCGGCTTAGGGTTTCCGCCGCCGCCAGGCAGGCCGGCGGTCGCCGTCCACCCCCGCTGCCGGCCGGCCGAGCCCTGCACCCGGCCGCCCTAGGCCCGATTCGTGCAACCCTGGCCGCGCCTGCAGTGCGACTATTTGGCCCCTTGGCCAGACGTATTGGCGCTGCTCTCCCAGATCAAAAGGCTCGCTTCGGCTCCGCACTCGGCACTCTCCCTCCACCGCGCTGCAAGGAAGACGGGCGGCCGAGCGCGCCCTCGATCCAGATCCAAGGTAACTCCTCCGTCTTCTCACCGCGGCCGCGCCCCCTCCCCCTCCCATCCGGGACCGGTTCTGCTCGGGAGGACTGGACTGCCTTTTTTGTTTGCTGGTAGTGGTAGCCATGGAAATCGGAGTCTTCGTTTCTGAAACTTGAATGGATACACCTAGCCAGGTCTCCGAATCTCCTAGGAATTGTTTCTGAAACTTGAATGGATACGCCTAGCCATGGAAATCGGAGTCCGGGACCGGTTCTGCTCGGGAAGATAGATTTGTTCTGTAGATATCTGTACCTAATAGGGGAACTGGGAAGTGTCATTCTGGCAATGATGAAATTCCATCCTTCCATCACGCATTTACCTAACTGCATTATAATGATATCTGTACCTAATGGAGTACTCTCTTGTTTACACACAAACTGTTTTTTCATCAGTTATATACCATAAGTTGGTTGTCTGTCATGAAATTGTTTGAAGAGAAAGTTGCTTTGGGTTAATGGCCAAGTAGTGCTGCCCCAAACAGAGCTCAAAGATGGCCAAGTAGTGCTGCCCCAGTTTCCAGTACACCTTTCTTAGGGTTATTGATCATATTGGTTCCTCAGTTCTTGCAAGATCTTGGCAATGCGACAGACTGAAGGATTGTAGACATAGGAACCCAAATTTCAATTGTACAGTCATAGGCCAAGTAGTGCTGCCCCAGTTTCCGGTACACCTTTCTCAGGGTTATTGATCATATTGGTTCCTCAGTTCTTGCCAGATTTGGCAATGCAACAGACTGAAGGATTGTAGACATAGGAACCCAAATTTCAATTGTACAGTCATATGCAATGCAAGTGTTGTAGACTGAAGGATTGTAGACATAGGCAATGCAGTAAGTGTTGTGTCATAAGCAACTGCCTGAAATTAGCCCGTTGAATAGATTAGAGTCTTGGTAACATAAATTAGGTAACTTGCCTTCTAATATGATATTTGTGAGTTCGATAGATGCCTGAAATTGATTGGAACTCGGAGAACACTCGAGTGCTGTGTATGTTGTTTGCCGAACAAGTTGGAAAAGGAAATCTGCATTGGAAGCAGATGTAGATGTCTTCCCACATCCTCCTCAAGGTAAATATTTTTGCTTACGTTCTTTTTCATATTTGTATGCACAAACTTATCTTGTTTTACATATGTGTAGGCAAGTACTATGTTGTAGATGCGGGCTATCCTAATCGTCCGGGGTACCTAGCTCTATACAAGGGTGAAAGATACCACTTACCCGAGTGGCATCGAGGTATGGAACCAAATACTCCAAAAGAGAAGTTCAACAGTATACACTCATCTGTTCGTAATGTTATTGAACGCTCATTTGGAGTATTAAAAATAAAATGGCAAATCCTTTACAAGATGCCCGGTTATTCAATGGTCACACAAAAGAAGATTGTTGCTGCTACCATAGTCCTACACAATTTCATACGCGAACATGCTAGTGTTGAGTGGACTTTGCTAATTTTGATAGAGATCCTACCTACATGCCTACTATTCCGGAAAGGTACAACAAGTATGCCGTGTCTCAACATGCCTCCGGTGGATCAACTTCGGAATCAAGCTTTGTGACTATGGACACCTTTCGTGATAATATGGCTACATCCATCGCCCTAGCATGGAATTAGTGCAATGATTATTGTAATAACCTTATTTTAGAACTATGAACTTATTTCGTAATTTCGGTTCTAGGCAAATGACATGTAATTTATTATTATTTTGGACTACACTGCATGTACTTTCATTTCATATTTGTGAGAAGCAGTTCAAGTCGAACCAGGGGCAAGAATGGCAATCTATCCTCAAACTCATCTTTTCTGGAGCTGGGGACACCCTCCCAGCCAAACACCATCATCAGACAGCTCCAACTCCACCCAGAGCTGGCTCCACCTGGAGTTCTGGAGTGGAGCAGCTCCACCCAGAGTTAGAGTCATACCAAACAAGGGCTTAATCTGTACAGAATCATGTGGAGCGTGTTTTACAGTTTATTTCTAGGTATTTATTATTGTGCGTGACTACTGGCTGTAACTCCGACCAGATAACCTTTTAGCACTTATCATTCTTGTAGATGACAATTTTGTTGGGCACCTCGGGGTTTTTAAAAGAGTTAAATGTATGGGTGGTCCATCAACTTACGCTCTAGTTTCACTTAGGTCCATCAACTCTGAAAGTGGATTTTTTGGTCCATAATCTTTGTTAGTGGCGCATTCCTAGCCCATACCCCTATTGTTTCAATTTTTTAACCGACGTGGCACCTCCGGGTCCAGGTGGACGCCGCACACACGCATGCATGTGCATGCACATCGGCGTCTTGGCGAAAGACAGCGGACTGGGCTGTCGCTGCGCCGGCTGCTGCTGCTAGTCGTCGCCGTCCCCGGCGCCGCCGCCCCTGCTGCGAGGAGGTGCCGTCGCCGCCGCTGTGGGCGCGAGCGAGCTGCTGTCGTGGCCACATAGGCGTCGCTCAACCTCAGCAATGCGTTCGCGGGGGAGTTCCCGGCCACGGCGGTGTTCCAGCTCCGGCGGCTGGAGTCACTCGACGTTAGCCACAACTTCTTCAACGGCACGTTCCCCGACGGCGTCGCGGCGCTCAGCGGCGCCCTCTCCGTGCTCTATGCCTACAACAACTGCTTTGTCGACCCGCTGCCGCGCAGCCTCGGCGAGCTGCGCCGGCTCCGGCGGCTCAACCTCGGCGGCAGCTTCTTCAACGGGAGCGTCCCGGCCGAGATCGGGCAGCTCCTCTCGCTGCGGTTCCTGCACCTCGCCGGGAACGCGCTGACCAGGCAGCTCCCTTCAGAGCTCGACGCCCTCGCATCGCTGGAGAAGCTAGAGATCGGATACAATGCCTACGACGGCGGCGTTCCCGCGGAGGTTGGCAACCTGACGCGGCTCCAGTACCTCGACATCGCCGTCAC